ACGACTGACTGTGTGTGTGACGAATGTCACAAGAGCAGCGTGTTCGCCAGCTATTAAGCGAAGAGGCCGTCCCAATTTCTTAGGCACCTCTGGTCGCTTGCTGGTGCAGCTCTTTCAGGTGAAAGTTCTTATGCTCCTTGTGGATGTGACGCCTTCCAAAGCAAGTCCAAGCTATCTTAGCGTCACTCCCAGCAGAACTGGGCCTTGACAAAGCAGCTGATCTTAATGATAAAATTAATGAACTTGTCGGTCCAAGGAACCAAGTTTTCTCTGTCTCTACACCAGGCCCTTCGTCCTTTATTGTGGTCTCCTTGACTAATGAGATAGCGGACCTGAAAAAGCAAGTAGCTGCACTCTCTACTATAGGTATCCGTGTTCGTTCACGCGACCGTTCTGTGTCTTCCAACCGCCGTTCTCGTGGCAACACTCCGTCAAGAGGACCCAGGTATGCTGTTACCACAAGAAATTTGATACCGAGGCAACCAAATGCACAAAGCCTTGCGCATGGACGCCCCGACAGGGAAACGTGAGCAACAATCAGTAGAGGCGGCTACTGATTGTTTTTCTTCCGACCGCCGCCTGTTTGTAACTGACCAGACGTCTTAAGTACCAGTATCTCATCGATACTGGCTCAGACCTCTGTTGTTTTCCCAGGCGTTTACTCAAAGGCCACTACAACAACAGTGACTATGACCTCAGTGCTGCAAACGGTAGTTCGATCAAGACTTATGGTAACATCTCCTTACACCTCAAACCTGCTTTTATTGAGCAACCACCAACTGACCCAAACACTGTTAGGACTAAGGAGACTACTCCAGATTTCGGATCGGACAGATCAACAACAGCCTCCTGCAACTGATACATCAGCTCACCCAGAGTTTTCTCCAACGACTAAGAAATCTCCTGGATTTTCAGCCTCTGCAAACCCATACATCATTTCTTTCGGTAGTCGTGTAAAGTTTAAGATTTGGCGATTTTACCTTGATCGAGGTGTGGCGGGCGAAGTCGTTAAAATAACGCGGTTTGCACGCCTTTTTTGTCTGTGTTCTTTCTTCACTTTGATAGACATGATCTCCACTTGAATTGTTGTGAATTATAATTAAGTTGTCGATGAAAAGTAATATAAAAGTCAGCCTTCTATTCACGAGTGTTAACCTAAACCAACAGAGTTAACCATAATAATTAAAGTTGACTTTGCAGGAACTTTCTGCTTACACCCTGTGTAAAGAATACGTAGAAAAACCTACTGTAACAATAAACTACTTTCATTAAAACAAAACTGTATTCAGAGTAAAAACAACAAAGTAAAAACAAAATACAACCAACTTCATAGTTTCCACGCTTTCCTTTGTAAATGTGAATTCCCCGTGTTCCGTAACTTTTGACAGGAACTCCTGAAACAATTTTAGTAAACATTATGTATTTTCAATAAAACAAAAGTTTAAGCATGTATCTAAACACGAATCTGACACGACAAAGTGATATTAAAAAAAACTGTTGCGAGTGGAGAACGATAGGGATATATCAGTAACGTAGTAAATGATGGTCCGTAATCTATAATTGCACCAGTAGAAAATAAAGGCGTGACAGTATGTTTGTATAATCATGAAAACTGACAAATTATTCTATTATATACGGCCACAATTGGTTATAATCTTGGTTAATGTTAAACTTTTATTTTTCCAGCTCATTGTTCTCACGAGATAATTTTAACGAATGAAAAGTCAAAGCAAAATTTAGTATATTATTCTGAATGCGGCTGTTAAAGGTCAAGTGATATACATAGAGTGGACAAAACCTCCAAATTAAAACCCGGAATGATGAAAAATAAAAGGCATAAAATCAAAACACTAGAGTTATACTTTAAATGAAATTTAAAAAAATAAAATAAAAGTATCTTATGAAAGTTTTCTTCTTAACTCAGTGTCGTAGTAATGTAATTGCTAGTTACACATCGAAAATATAAAACAAAATACAATACTATTTCGGATTTTCTGAGGAAGGGATTATACCGCACCTTCGGTGAAACAGTGACTTAACTTACATTTGTAGAAGACCACGGCTCATAATCTGACCCGGTTGATGGATGTTTGCGTACAAAAACGTCATTAGTTTTAAATTATATTTAAATTACTATTTATTTTATATAAAAAAATATTTAATATGTAGGTAGATATTCAATATTTTTAACATGTAAGATTTTTAATTGTATGAAAACACCCTAATTAGGTTATTGTAGATCAGACTTTCTGTCTAAATAAATATTACTGCGCGATCAATTGTAATAGGACTAAAACCGAAATGGTTCTCTGGATGACCAACAATAAATACAAAACACATACAATTTTTTTTATACACACATCAAAAATGTCTAGGGATCAGCACGTTTATGCCAATTACTGACATTATTTTTAACGCCTATGGATTTTTTGCCCAATTTTATAGTTTCAAATTCAGAAAATGAAATTTACCAAAACAAAATCCATTGATGTTAAAAAATTCATTAAAAAACTTTTTTTAGTAGTTACCAAAAACGTGATCCCTAAACACCTTTGATGTGAAAATCCATTTTTACTTCTATAATTCCCAGAACCCACAGTAAAGCGACACACACCATCACACTATTGTAAAGTACACATTTTTCTTTTAATCCAAGCACCATGTCATTTTCTTTACGCAGTGGGTATGATTTTATACATACGTGGGTCATGATCCTTGCACATTTAAATTGGTCCATTTTTAATTTTTTTGCATTTAAGTCTGTGTTACACCAGAGGTACGATACGATCTATGTATAATTAATTCTTTAATTCCTTTAGGCTCAACTCACACTGGCGCAGAGTCGAAGCGTCGCGAAGCGTCATGTTTTTCGCCTATAGCATATTTATCTCTATTTTCCCACTATTAAGGTACAAATTTGTGTTATGCAAATATGGAGTCGCGCGTTCGTTGTTGTAGTTGAAATACAGGACGCGACGCGACGCTTCGACTTTGCGCCAATGTGAGTTGAGCCTTAATCTCATATATTTCTCATAGTGACCTTACGGCAAAAAAGTCGTTAAAACCAAAAACAAAGATCTGCAACAAGCACATAGAGAAATTCGTATATGTCTGCCGACTCGTCCCGTAACCCAGTTGGCAGAGCAATAGCCTCGGTACGGCGAGGTTGCTAATTCGAGTCTAACCCGATCAAAGGAAATTTTCTTTGTATTTCTTCGATCTTTGTATCAATAATAACAACAAACTAGTGGAATGTTTACACAAAGACCATATAAATATCATAATTATTCAATAAAATAAATATCATTTCCTTTGAGTTTAGGTACATAATATTCTCCTTTTAACTCTGGTAATAAGCGAAAATAGAACTACTTTCATTAAGACCACTAAAAGCGACAATGTTATCTGTTCAATTAGTTTTTAATATCGATATGAATCTGACCTTTAACAAAGTCAAATTACAGTTTAAAATCACTCGAACTCATAAATCGAAATGTAATTACCTTTAGATACGCCCTATAGATCATAATCGTGGTCATTTGGTAATGATAAACTACGTAAACGTTCACAAAATTTGAACACTCGCCGTATTATGGAATTTTGACCGTGTTTTGGCTGATTGAGTCACTGGAATAATGTAAACACGTTTCAATCCAGTACAGCGTCCAGTATCCAGCGCTGGATTGGAATAGAGCACGTTCCTGTTTTTCAATCCAATGTCCATCCCCCGCATGCCGCGCACCCCGTGTCAACAGCACTGAATCCATACAAATAAACGCGATGCGCTAGTGGCTGATGCGTAGAGGCGGAACCCAGTGGCAGTGCCAATCCAGCGCTGGAATCCAGGGACGCTGGATCCAGCTACTGGACTAATCAGCCTTTACTGTTGTGAGTTACGCCTAAATATATTAAATGTGTCAAAGATTTGATCGTATCAAGTGTTAATCAAGTTTTTCTGGGCATCTTATTTTTTATTTAGTACTTCTCATCTTGAAATGTATCTCATGTCAGACTCTTTCTATGAATAACTTACATTCTGTGGAATTGTCTTAATAAAAAAAACCAGCTGTTAACTTTTTTTGTTATTCGTAATATGTTGAATATATGGCTCAACTTACACAAAATAAAAAAAAAATCTAAAGCTGAAATGCTACCCGCCACCGTTCTTTCTCTTCATTCTTTCACTCATTCGTCCATCTCCTTCACTCTCGTCTTTCTCTCTTATCCTACCGCTACATCCCTAATTATATTAAGTTGAGTTAATGCTACAATCGTAATATTTTTGACATGCATATACAATAGGTTACATTTTTAAAATACTAACAATTTTGCTGTACTAGATTACTTACATCACTTTTGTTCCGTAACTTTTGACAAAAGATGATAAATAAGTATATCAAAAATAAACTTTTAAGTTTTTTGTACTATCTGACAATTTTTAGATCTGTATTTAGTAGTAAGGTAGTAAGTTCAAACATGCAAGCGTTCTTCTTTTTTTTATATACTATTAAGTGGCGGACGTACAAGTCGTGTGTCTAGTGGTAAGCTATACCTACTCCTGTCCATAACAGTTGCAGTGCCACTCAGAGCTTTAAATTGTAAAGATATGAAGATCTGAGCGGCACTGCAACTGCGTCTGTCACCCTAAGACATAAGTTGACAAGTCCCATGTGCCTGTAATTTCACCAGCACCAGCACAATGCTCACATTACTGCTCTCTGACAACTCCCGCGTTTTGCACAGAATTGGCGCGATATATGTATGTATTTAAATATTTTAATTTTTTTGGGAAAGTAAAATCTGACGAATTATTAAAAGTCATGGAACAAAAGTTGTTGTTTGTTTGTTGTTGTTGTTGTTCTGTGTGTTCGTTAGTAATACAGTTCTACGAAATTGTTAATATTCCGTGCTGAAAGTTTAAAGGCAGCGGTAATAATTAACCACTGGGTGGAACGTTTGGCATTTAGAAATTGCTAATATTTGTCCAATCAAATACTTACCTATTTAATGACGAGACCTTACAAAGTGTTGTAAAACACCCTCAGAATCAGATGTTCTCTGGACAGTATTTGTTTGTGTGAGCATAATCGCCGGTAGCGCCACATCGTGGACATATGTGGGCACGCAACACAGGACACCGCACCTTACCGCGCCAATTCTTTAACGCGTGAGACGTGTACCAGGCTACAGGATTGCCGTTGTTCTTGCAGAAGGCACATTCCTGAATTGAATAAAAAATATTATACACTGCTAATACCAGTAATTACGATTTCATACAATATAAATCATAATTTCCAATGTAGTCCCCGCACCACAGTGAGCGCTGAGGTCGCTTCCGAGGTCCTAGGTAGGGGGCCTAGGTAGGGGGCCTAGGCAGGGGGCCTAGAATTCTTTCTAGGCCCCCTACCTAGGAAGCAATTGGGGGACGTCGATACAGTCTAGGTGGTGCTACCGCATTTGAAAAAAAAAACTGAATGATCTGTATAAACTACACTACATATATGCCATTTTTTCTTCGTGATTTTTTGTGATATAAAAAATACGTTGTTTTAATTATTATTTTGGTGGTAGGCGTTGAAATTTCTTATCTTGCCTAAGTGGACAGTGAGCTATATAGTTTGGGAACCTATGATATAAATAGTAATAGTAATTAACACTGGTTCAATATTTGGGAATTGCTTTATGGTGTTTCGGAGCTTGAACGTATTAGCCTTTATTTTCAAGACTCCCTTAAAAAACAATAATCAAATATAAACTAATAATCAATAATCAAATTCCCGTTCACGTAATTGATAAGAATAAGAATAATAACATAACTCTAACATGTACAGTGTGTACTGTCAATAATACTTTGCTCTTTGGACTACCTTATCGTAAGTTGCATAGTGTCCGGAAATGTGACGATGATCGTATCGATTTCAATTATTTTTTGTTTGTTGTATAGAGTATATACTTCTGTGGTAATACCATCAAAGAAAATTAATATTTAAAATTAATAATTAGAAGTAATTTTCACCAATATCTCTACGTACGTAATTAAATTTAAATTTTCTTAAGAATTATGCGCTGAAACCCTAACAAAATTTACACAAACAAAAGTCGATTTAAAATTTCAAAACAATTCACCAGAATTGTATGCCGATTCTTTAATGTTCCGATCTTGTATAGAGTATTGCAGTCACCTGTGCGATAGCTCAGCGAAATTTCAACTTGAGGCTCTTAATTCGGATGAATGCATAGCCAGGACTATTAACGACAATAATATTTAATATACTCATAGTTTAGATCACCGACGCAAAGTTGCCTGTCTGTCGATTTTCGACAGAATTTATTTCGGTGAATGTGTCCAAGAACTCCATCAACTCATTCCACCCGCACCCTTTTGCCATCGGACATCCAGACGTACGGCGGGATATCATCCTTACTTGGTCGATATTCCCTTCAGGCGTACTAAGCGCATTTCGTCATCTTTTATTATGCGCACAGAAAAGGGAAGTGCCTGCAACGGTTGTACAACCCGGGTATCTATATTAGGCTCAACTCACACTGGCACAGAGTCGAAGCGTCTCGACGCGTCTTGTTTTCCTATTATTAAGGTACAAATTTGTGTTATGCAAATATGGAATCGCGTCGACGCTTGGTTAAAGTCGAACGGTTTCGCGCGTCGCCGTGCTTTACTCGCGCGCAGTGATGCGTCAGACGCCGACCAGACCAAACATAGCACAGTGCCTAAATGGGAAGAGACAAGTGCGCGACAATAGACGAAGCCGAAAAATTAATTTACTTAATCCAAAAATATGAATGTCTATATAACGTAATAATTATAAAAATATCTTGAGTCTCGGCTTAAACTTTACTACAAAGTGTTGTGAATTCGCCAAATATACGTTTTTTTCTTTCATAGCTCGTGAACCCAAATTTCCTTTTTCTTTATCTCCCTTCAGCTTCTGATATAATTTCAGTTTCAGATATAAGAGCAATTTTAATAAGATCAATATCAACAATTGTATACTGTCGAGCACGAGCGCCATTCACGAAAGTTCAAAAGTCTTTAAACTGGTCCAGCACTGTGGTCCGGGTCCGTTAATGCGAGCATCGTCACGTGTCGTTGCGCGTCGCCATGCGTTATAGTTGAAAAACTGGACGTGACGCGACGCTTCGACTCAGACTCACACTGGCGAGTTGAGCCTCAGGTGCGACTGAATATAATGTTCCATCGTAGATTCTATCTTTGCACCAGGGCTAGATAGTAGTCAAGAGCAAGTTATATTTAATTAAAAATAAATAATGTTATATTGTAGATGACCGTACTTACTAAATTCATCTGATTATTCCGACGCTGAGCGCGAAGTGTATCGGTGAATTTCAACAGCAACTCGAACTGATTAGGACTCAGGGCCAAGAGCGCTGCCTGCTGCATCGACATCATCTTTTCAAAGGTTGAGATGTTTGACGACTGGCCTAAAATGAAATTTTATACAATGAGAAATTTTAAAAGAGAAAACACTTCCTCCTTACTATTTTTGCTACCTATTTTAATAAATAGTCCATCATGTACTAATCCTTTTTTATGTAAAGTAGGAAGCAAACGAGCAGCTGTAGACGTCGTCGCCCACTGACATCTGAAACATGAGAAGAGCTGCCTATGCGTAGCTAGCCTTAGCCCTGTTGATTCGTTTTTTGCAGAACCCCATGTTGCGCTGTCCAAGGAAATCAGGAGGGAGACCTCTCTCTCACATGTTCGGGAAGCTTTTCAGTAATTGGACTTGAACTGACATCACTTTTATTTTTGATCTTTCCACCCAAGCTCTTTTTTGAATGATTTAATACAACCCAATCACCACATTCTTCAGGTTCGAAGACAGGATAAACGTGAAGCCCACATGGCTACTTGTATTCGCCATTGGGTGTTCTTACTTTAGATGTACTTACTTGGAACATATTTGACGTACAGACAAACATGCAATACTGATGTAATTAAGGAGTTAAAATAATGAATTTGCCCATAGTGCGTCCGGTTTACTTTCGTATTTGCCTATTTGGCTCCTTTGATGTCCGTCTGGAAACCGACCAGCGCGATAACGCGAGTTTGATGTTTACTGTATTTATTGAATAGGCAAACAATGCAAATACTTTGTCACACATGCTATCTACACATGGTAATTGTTTGCCAAATACACAAATACTAGCCATGTGAAGTGCCACCATTAGAATGCCAGGCGTCAAGGAAGTGGGATGGACCCATACCTTTGGCGGGAAGTGCTATGATTGAAACGTGACGGTGGCACCAGTTCAAAAAGTTCCTCTGAGCATTCTCTGTTATATAGGAAGTTTAATCTAACAAAGGTGATAACCTCAATATGATGCCGTGTTATATTGTTTTATAACCGAGCGTACTAATTATCTAATTTTTAAATTAGATAAACTTTACAGCCCTTTAGGCTAGTTTCACAGCTGTGCGCACGGTCCATACCGACTGTCCGTATGCGTAGAATCTGCAGTGCACTGAATCGAGTATTTAACTTAGTGCGGATATTCACAGAGACAGTCGTCAACAATGAAAGCACGGGTGGCTTGGGCGGAGTTCACGCGGAGCGTGTTCCGTACGGAGCAATACGCGTCACTGTAAACGGTCCGCAGATTAATCCCCACTGCTCTGGAACCAGCCGATCTCATGGTCACGACTGACGAAACGTGGTTTATTTGAAAAAACAAATATACGAGATTTATGCCAGAAAAAATAGTTTATTTCCCATGTGTAACAATCGCGAAAACCTAAGAACTCGATATAGATATACTTTAATGTTCGACAGTTAGTAGTATTTTGCGGTATGTGAGTTTTATTTGATAGATCTGGGAAAGAATTCCTAGCAGTGAGAAGCAGTGAGAATGAACTGTAAAAGTTTCAAAATAAAAACTGAAATTAACATTGCCTATCTTTTTTTACGGTTTTTAGTTTTATAAGTGTCTAACCTCGCATAACAAGAGCTTTTCTGTCCTTAGTTGCGGAATTACAACGTTGTGTAGTTGTATCAGGTCCGGTGCCGCTGTTGTCAATTGTGATCTGCGCCTCCAAAACTGCTGGATCTAATTTCACTGCCTCCAGTATATCTGTGAAATAATTATATAATACCAGTTGTGTTTAACAGGAAAATTAGAAGTTTTATAACGTTTTTTTCTAATTTTCTCAGTAACTACTCCACTATATACAGCCTAATACAACTGACTACCAACTGCCTAGTACAATGGACTTCTTTAGATTATAAATAAATTTTGGTGATCGCACTGATCATGACAAACATTTTTAGAAGCAGTAAACCTCCTTGGTTTGATTTCCTCCTTAATTTGGATTTTTCTTATCAAGGGTGTTAATTTGTAACTTTAGTAATAGGTAAAAGCCAGTGTGTGAATATGAAGAAAATTTGGTGTGAAATCATCTTGCAAAATATGTATATACAATGCATTTTTTACATTTCAGTTGTGGTGCTTTAAGGGTCGAAACACAAAACTGCGAATCACCGCCATGCGAATTCGCAACGCAGAAAACTTCGACACGAATTGCTGCAATGCGATTTCGTGCGGCAAGGCATCTCACTGCCACGGTTTCCATAACAATTCCTTCGACTGTCGCCAACCAAAAAAAAAGGTAGTGACATGGATCGTAAAAAGCGTGTAGCACTGCTGTATTGAGATAAGAAAGTATAGGAAAAAACACAAAAAAGATTAACACCGCAGGAATGCGCGATGCGGAGCTATTCGCAAATTCGTTGCGATGCGTCGTGCGAACTCGTAGATATCTGCGATGCGACGTCGCATCGCAGTTTTGTGTTTCGACCCTATGATGCTAACTTGAGAAAGTAAGGCAACGATATTATACCCAAGTCTACATGCTTTAAGAGCCCTCATGCCAAAAAAGTTTTGACGTTGGCTCCACCCACACTCCCCGCTACCCGCACCTATCACTCGCCGCCCGCTACCCGTACGTCGCAGCGTAAACCGATCAAAAGTAATTTTCGCGCGCTTATCGTCGACCCGTAAACATTGAATCCATTATTCGACTACTTAAAACTTTTATTACACTTCTTTATTCAAATAAACGTATTACGTATTTAAATATCTAACCCTAATTCTACAGTACAATTTGAATAAAATGAGTGAATAGACCGCCAAATTTTAAAATTATTTATTTGTTTGAAAATTTTACAGCTTTTAAATTTGGTTTACAATTCTGAATAATGTACTTACATAGCCAATTACAAAGTTTATCAGATTACAATTCATTTATTTACGTTACATAAAAACTAATTCGATGCCAGAACGAAGCGACTTAAAATATTGTTTATCAAAGAACAATGTAACGAATTGAAATATATATTGATAACATATTATAACTGAATTCTGTTGTATTAATAAATTTAGACATTATTTTTTTATTACTATATTTTTTAAATGAAGCGACTTACAATATAATAAACAAATAGACTATAGTAGAGTAGGCGCATTTGTGTCTATATGTGTGAAGGTGTATGTGTATATGTGTGAATGTGTGTATGTCTATGTAAACATCTGACAAATTTCTGCACGTTTTCTTTTTTTTGATAGTTTTTTTGTTTTGTTTTATTTTTCTAGGGAAGCCAAACGACAAGGCTGAAATAATTCATTTCGTTGTCGTTTTCATTTAGAATACAAATAGATAGAAGCCATGCAAAAAATGTCAACCTATTAGCATATTAAAATAGACTAGGTTCAATGTAAACATTGAAGAAAAGGAAGAGAAAATATGTTCTACAATTTAACAAGTATTATTTCTCAATGTAAAATCTTTAATTTGCCATGAGCCCAGGCCCATGCACATGGACAAATTCATATATTAAAGGTGATAATTCACTTTTAATGCAACGTTTCATATGCTTAGGAGGTAGTTTTTTAGAGAATCGTTTTCCCCTGTCACTCTGATAATAAGTTTTTCGCCGAACAATATCACCAACATTAAAGTCATACTTTTTACGTCGAAGATTATAAGGACCACTATTCAATTTCTATCATGAGACTTGATTGAAGAACTTTGTACATGATCGAAATTTCCTCTAAGTTTACCGGTATTTTCCACATATTCGTACCTAGGCGCAAAAAAATCTTCGGATTGGTCGATATCAAGATGTGGGAACCACAAGCTACCAATTCTCTCCAGACGTGATGTTACTAACGGCAATATTGAGAGCAAATTGATTTTTTAGGATATTCAGATCCCAAGATCTGTGACTGTGACCCTCGTCTATGAACTTGGGGACAGCTGCCATGATGGTTTTGTTATAGCGCTCAACAAAGTTTACCTATGGAGTATATTTGTGCGTAGAATATACATTAGGGCTTTTATATCTCTAGTATTTGGAAAATAAAATATGTCTTAGATGTTCCACTAATTCCCATATTCTTACGAATTGTAAACAACCACACGAAATAGTATGCCTTAAATATGGAAAGAAAAGCATTCGGATTCCAGATTGTCCAGTTTGTGATAAAACAAATCTAACCATAATAGTAAATAATTTGGATTGGAGAACCGGTAACACTCTTTGCACCACATTTTCGGAACGTTACAAAGAATCAGACTGGAACGAATGACTTCATTTTGTAACTAACTTCTCAACTAGACATTCAGGGTCTTAAATCTTGGGAATTTATCCATATTTGAAGTTTGAGTGAAAACCGCTACAATGTCAATCCTTTATTAATGGAATATTTACATAACTGGACGCGAATTATTTAGAAAGAAAGTGTCACTTTGCGTGATTATAATTTCATAAACCATATCACGAAGGGGCTCTTTTTAGTTTTAACCAAAATTCTGTTGTCTATGGTATTCGCTACTGATTCATTATAGTTCCATACTCAGAACTATAATAATGAATCTGTCGATTTTCTGCATCAGCGCCATTTCATTATATCCAAAACTTCTTGAATTCGTTTCTGGACAGATATTTTTTTTGTCTTTGTCACCTTGACCTATGATTATAAGTGCCTAAAAACCATAATGCTTATTGTTTATAATATAAAACGACGAAGCTAGGAACATAATGAAAACAATATAATTATTGAAAATGCATAATAAATACACACACTTGGTAAATTCTCAAAGGCAGACTGCTGCGCAAATATCCAGACCGATCCAGACCGACTTCATACTGTCTCAATTAAAAAAATACACTGTAGGGGTATACTATCCCCGTGTTCCCCTTATTTTTAAAATCAAATGTTTCACGTGCAAGCTGGAAAATTAAGCAATGCCCAAATTGTCGGGTTCAATCCGGACACATTGACAGGGAGCAAAGGAAAAATTACTAATCTGCGATTTGATTTTAGGATATATGTATAATAATATACATAATAATAATAATAAATCCACTTTAAAAATAAAATATTGTATGAGTAACTACACGACATATTGAAGCATAGACATTAATTAGAAAATAAAACAATAAAGTTTCCTCGATAGATAAAAGTCACGAAATGACCTCTAATTTTCCATTTTTTCGATTTATTCTCGAAGTGCTACAGGTTATTAGGACAAAAATTAGATAATTAAAAATATTTATACATGATCGACTATTGTCGTTGCGGATTTTTTAATCCCTTTAGTCTTAGAGTTATTCCGCTAAAACGAATTTAGCACTTACGACATTTTAATGCGCAAAAGACAACATGTCCTGTCGCTTGTCACGGGAACTTCAAGCATATAATTCTATCACAAATTAGTCACTATCACTCCGTTGAGACGAGAGGTCGTTGACAGAATTTACGGCTGAGCTGTTTAGTCGTCATTGTAAATTATCAATATTGATGGCTAATTGTCGAAGGTAAGTTTGTGAATTACCTACCTATGTTGACTGGTAAAATAAAAAATATTATTTCCATGTTCATAAGCGCACTTAGAACTTACGAATTTAGATTTCATCTGTAATAAAATTGAAAATTCATCGATATGAGAGCGAAGATCGTGTGATTATTTTAGTTCTTATGTGCCGAATAACATTTAAATTAGTTTATTCCCGCTTTCGCGGGCCACTCGATTGATATGACGATACCATTTACATTTTTACTTTACATATTATATAATAAATAATATTTGTAAAAATGACAGTATGATTTATGCTTTATTTCCGATATATTCTGGAAACTGAATTTCTAGAATCTTTACACAAAATTTATGAAAATGTAAAATTTTAAATAAAATTTTAAATATAAAACTTTGAGACGTCATATCTTATTTATGTGTTAGGTATTTGAAAAAAAAACCGAACATGTATTTCTTATTTCCATTATGCAGTATGCTCCTTTAAAATGGTCAGTGGTTTTTATCATCCGGTATAAACATAATACAATATTTACTGTACTGGGACCGGTTGTTAATTTATTAGTCCTATTGGCGACTCCACAGTTTTATTCTGTTCCACACAAAATTTGTGTCTGTAATGAAATTTCATAAAGTACGATACCTATTATACTCGTATTTGTTTGGTAAATAGAATAAACACGAAAATAAATAAATTGCTCTAATCTTCTTCTTGTCGAGTCAAAGACAAAAACCAATACAATAATTGTGTTAGCAATGTGTTAAATTGCTTTAAATTTTAAATTTTATTAATTTAATTTCAATTTCTTTTGCTCTAATTTAAAATTCCTACCATTAAGTATGTGTAATTATTTTGTTCAAAATCAAAATCAGTTCTCGTAATAAAAAAAATAACAACGATATCAACTATTTATTCTCTGTCTGTACTAAGCCCTTTTTGGATTTTGTGTGTGTTTTCCAGAGGTAACCTAACAATCAATTAGATCAAAATCATACTGTCACTTATACAAATATTATACATTTATAATATGTAATATAAAACATGTAAATGGTTTCGTCATATCAATCGAATAGCCCGCGAAAGCGGGAATAAATCAATTTAAATGTTATTTTGCACATAATAACAACTAAAATCGTCTGCACGACCTTCACTTTTATACCGGTGAATTTTCAATCCTATTACTGATGAAATCTAAATTCGTAAGTTCTAAGTGCGCTTATGCACACGGAAATATTATTTTTTATTTTACCGTTCAACATAGGTAGGTAATTCACAAACTTACCTTCGACAATTAGCCACCAATATTGATAATTTACGATGACGATTAAACAGCTCAGCCGCAAATTTTATCGACATCCTCTCGTCTCAACGGAGCAATAGTGACTAATTTGTGAAACAAATACATGCTTGAAGTTCCCGTGACATGCGACAGGAGATGTTATCTTTTGCGCATTAGAAATGTCATAAGTGCCAAATTAGTTTTAGCGGAATAACTCTAAAACTAATCTGATTAAAAAAACCGTAAGGACAGTATTCATATATGCATAAATATAATTAATATCTAATTTTTGTCCTAATAACCCGTAGCATTTCGAGAATAAATCGAAAAAATGTGAAAATTAGATGTGTTTTCGTGATTTTTATCTATAGAGGAAACTTTATTGTTTTATGTTTCTGATTAATGTCTGTTCTTGAATATATCGTGTAGTTACTCGTATAATATTTTATTTTTAACTTTAAAGTAGACTTAGCCCTCTAAAATCAAATCGAAGATTAGGAATTTTTCCTTTGCTCCCTCTTAAAGTGCAGCGTAAACACGCTTTTTATTATATTTTCTGTTTACCAGTATCATAAAATTAAGTAAAGAACATTTGTATATATTTTGTAGTATACATTCATAGAGTAAGGAATTAGAAAATAACAAGTCCCTAACATAGGGGACGGGCAGAATACGTGTTATCAAAATCATCATCATCGTTATCATTATTTCAGCCGAAAGACGTCAACTGCTGGAAACTACAATAAATATTAAGTCTTAATTAAAATATAAATTTCAAAAAATTTCTTTTATTTATTTTTCTTTAGTCTATACAACCTCAAATGGCTTTGGTTGATTTCGCATAACAGTGAAAGTGTTGAACCAATCACTTTGAAAAAAATATATAGTAAAATTGAGAATATACACTGATTACTCTCCGGTGTGAAAACACGATTCTTAAAAATTTTCAATATAAAAAAACACAAACTTCGAAATTAAAATAAATAAAATAGAATAAGAAAACCGCTGTATTCAATAGGTACTTTGCATATACCAATGATTTATTTTATATCAACTGAACTAAATAAAACACGTATACTTTAGGATATACGGACAACGGCACATCATACTACACATTTTGTTCGAAAATCCCCTCCAGTGCAACGGAACAATATACGTCAATGTGTAGCTTGATATGCTGGCGTGTGTACATCTTTCAAATGGCTTTAATTTCGTTTGTATTTGTAAAAAAATAAGTTCTTAAATAAATTAGTGTCCCTGCCGCGCGAGTCAAGCAAAATGAATCGTATTAGTACGTAAAAAATTTGAATTCGAGAGCAATTAAGCAATTCGATATTTTCTTATTGTTACCTCTTTTCTTTTTACATTGGAACGGATATCCTAAACGAAAGTAGGTGTGAGTTAATTAAAGTGACAGTAAAAAGCCATTTTATAAGAAAATCCTTTTGTCTTACAAAATGGTCTTTTTCTATTTGATTGAAGTTTTTTTCCCAAAAACACGTGCAAAGAACTAGCTCAGTGGCATGGCAATTGGCCGTTGACAACTATTATTAATATTTAAACATTTTTAAAATACAGGAATGTAAACCCAAACGCATTTCAGTCAATGCGACGAACTAGCTGAAAATACTCGTACTGATATTTCTTTTATGATCTTTTATATTCAATAACGTGAATACCAACTTTTGTAACTGCACTTTCCAGCCACCTACGGTACCGGTCAGTATGCGTCGGCTTACGGTAAACTGTAGTAAACAAACGACTACAAGATCCTTTATTTTCTCTCTCCACCGTGAACTCAATTTTATCGTGCACAGAATTGAGATAGTTAAAGAAATCCGGTATTATCTCGAAAGCCTTTTTCGAGATAATAGCGAAAACATCATCCATATACCGCCACCAATATCTAAGTTTTACAAACGCGTTTTTAAGGCTTTTTCTTCTAACCACTCCTTAAAGTTGTTAGTAGTTACGATATGTGAACCCAAGGCTACTCCAAATACCCTTTTCAAACAAAACTCAATTGATTTTACGTGCACGGCACTTTATTCGAAGCAGCGAAAACACTTTTAATTTATTTTACCATATCTCTCAATAAAGATTACCAATTTTAAATAGGAATTTTACTTAAATACGTGAGTTATCCGTTAGTTTTGTTAATGTCTGAGTTTCACGGTGGTTTTTCATTTAAGACCTCTCGCTATTGGTGAAGGAAAATGTCGTTATGAAACATGCATGTTGAAGACGATACACAATCCACGTTGGGTCCGAGTGGCGGACCTTGCACTAAATCCTCTCCCTTAGGAGTCTCGTCTTAACGAGACATGTGCTCAACAGTGAGAGTTATAATGGAAATGATGATGACATTGATATGTAAAAGAATGCATTGTTTTTAAAACATGTATATGTGAAGCTGTTATTTAAATACCTGTTTTAGAAGGTGCTGATTTCCTGCTAACCTGAAAAGTCGCTGCGGCGTCGCTGATGGACTGAAACAACAACTTAAGATATAAAACGCTACTTGTCGTTTATTTTCACAAAGGAAATGTTTAGTCGGTTAGAGATTTCATTGGGAAAGGCGCGGAAAGCAAAGACGTGCGCATGAGTTTAGGGAATTTGCTCGACTTAATCGAACTTAATACTATACTATTAGCCCCGCACTAGGAAAACCTAGAATGCCATGGACACACACATAGACAACCACAAATTACACCCAAACTCACGAGAGAAATAAATGTAGGCCATACAAATATTTCTCCCGGCCCGGGAATCTAACCTGGGACCTCTGCGTGGCAGTCCAGCATGGTAATCGTTCGGCCACGGAGGCAGTTAATACTACCTACATCACTCCACCCTTAACCTAAAGTTAAGAGTGTAAAAATGTTGCGGAAATTATTAGGCGGAAAATGGTGATGTTTCTGCCGCGCTATTCTCTAGCTCTGCGGACGCGGTCTCGAGTCTCGAGCTGAGGGTGGACACAATCACAGAGGTGTGAGCAGCATGCCAGGGATGACTCAGGGCTCTTTTCAACTTTAATCACGATAGGTGGCAGTTCTGCAGTCAGGCATGGCTGATCATTTCTTTTATGTCGGTCAAGAGTGTGACTCAACTGGTCATCGTGGTCTTCGTCCCCTCTATATTTTAACAATTGGTTGGTGTGTCTCTTGAATAATTCATTGTTATCTGATTGCAATGACCACACTAAGTACACTGATTTTCCACCACTACGTCTTTCAACCTCTTACACATTTTAACTTGTCGTTGTTGTTGTTTGTCTCTTATACATTTTAACTAACACTAATTAATTATTACCAAGTTTTGATTGCCGCCATAGGACCATGGTATACTCTGCAAGCACTGTTACCATTTTACGGCTTCATTAAGCGATGCGTCTTGGGCTGTTGGGTCTGTCTAATTTACATCTTAATTTGTTTTCAAAATATACTTTCAGCGTGCGATGTGTCCGTGATAAAATGAAGTCACATAATTTAACATTAACTCTTTTCATCACACTTGCTCGTAAATGGTATGATTGCATGGTAGGTAACTTGACCATAATGCCTCATATAAAACCCATGGGCCTTTTTTCTTTCCTTTACAGCCACGGTCGACAAGGAGCTTTTTTTTAATTTGTAACACTACATATTTCCTTACATTTTCAACAATTCAAGCAAGGAGGTTACTTAAATTAAAATATTCGCATAAAATTTTATTTAATTTTATCTAAACAAAAATTTCATTGCAATTCAATCACATACCACTTAAATACTTATTATTAAGAATTTCTTATAATTGATTTTAATTATTTACTGTACAAACATTAAACAATTTTTTTACAGTCCATCGTGGCTGTATGCGTGTTTGCTTTTTACAACATTTAAGTTGTTGTATTATCTATGGAAGAATTAAAACCAAAAACCCGCCATTTGCGGATTCGCTCTGGACCTTTTGGAGGGAAAAGTATCGTTTTTATTTTGACTTTCAATTATTTTGTGAAATCTAGTTTAAAGTGGAATAGGATAGTGCTATTGTGCCCTAATCGAAGATTAAAACGCGAAATTATACGAATCTCGAACTAAAATACCCGTATCGGCCCGTTTTAAGGAATCCCGAGTCAATCCAAGCACGCCGCCTCAAATTGCCTATCCTCTTTGTGGCGGCCATATTTACGGAAACATATTTAAACTTCATGTTTAGGCTGATGGCTTTGCCAAAGCCTTAATAAATAAATAAAAAAATAAAAACCGCCATTTGCCAAATCCATAATTGTTGTGTTGTGAATCATATAAATTGTATTTATTTCCTCGCAAATTGATGAAAAGTATTGTATGTAACACTGACGGTGAAAAAATACAAAACTCGAGTTATTAACGCCCTCAGCCTTTGGCTTCGGTCTTCTAATAGACCCTCGTTAGTAATTTCCTAATTACCATCGTCCTTAATACACAATGTACTATTAATACTGGCGCCTAATAAAACAATTCTTGGTAGCATTCTTTGCTATTTTAACTAACTGTCAGCCTGCCCGATACCACCGATGCTGTTTGAGTTGTAAGTCGCTATTGTGACGAGTTCGATTCCATTACTGTGGAAAAATTCTATACATTCCACGCTAACAAATGACGTGCCGTTATTAGTGCATATTGTGTGAACTAAACCAAACCTAGACATAACATCACATAATTTGTTTATGACTATTTGAGCTCCATAGACACTGAAGACGAGCTACCCACTTAGAATACGCGTCTACTATTATAATGATGAGATTCACTTTGCCGTTGATGGGTCCTAGGAAGTCCATGTGCAAACGGTACTATGGCTCCGCAGCCATATGTGTATTCCTAGTTTATGAATTACTCAAGCCTATTCCGCAATAGGCTTGAGTAATTCATAAACTAGGAATCGTTAGGAATGAATTCCTGACACTGACCGAAAGGAGTTAGTTCTTTCTGCACGATCTTTATAGTTCACCTGTCTTTGAGTTCAGTAGGAATAGGAGCTGTTTGCGGAGCCACAGACGCGAAGCGACCTTATTAGTTACCTGAATTAACATATAACAGAAATAACAGACGCGAGACAGTGCGAACGAGACAATTGATGGACTATCATTGCTTTTTGAGATGTACAATTGAACCTTGACAGCTCGTTTGACTCAAATATGAACTTAACAAGTATACAACAAAATTGCTTCATTTTTAGTTAGTTATCAAATTTAACACACTACACACCATGTGTAAAATAATAAAATAAAAAACTCAAACACATCAAATATGTATAATTGCATTTTAAAATAAAATTATAACGTAAAATTAAAATCAAATTAGAAACAATATAATTGTAAATATGAAAGGTATTCGTAAAACATAAATAGTATAGGAAAGAGGAAAAACAATAAAACGTTCCTATTTAAATTAATAAATCGTTCATAGGGATCATTTCGTTTAGTGTGCTTCAAAGACTGATACGGTTCCTATTCCTTCCCTATTCCCAGATCCCACATTGATTAGGGAATTAAAATACCGAATTATTTCATTTGTCCGAATGAATTAAATGGGATTGCTCCCTCTAAAGACCGACGAGGCACAAGTCTATTGCGGAGTGAAAGTCCACGGAGTGCATGAGCGCGGTGGCGTGGGCCGGAGGGCGCATACCTCACACAAGCCCACGTTCTTATTTATAACTACCGACATTCTAGGCCTCCAAAAGCATCCCCTTGCCTCTGTCTGCATATTATTAGAACCTATACGTCAAAGAACAATTCAGCCAATATTATCTCACGGTGTTTAGTAGGTATAATTAATTTGTAGCCTGTCATCAGGCATGAGTTTTCTACGGCAAGCTCATTTCGACACACGTAATAAGGTTTCAAATACTCGTTTTTTTGTTAAATAGAATAGGATCGGTTTGCGTTTACCCCTAGCTACATCGTAACGGTAATCATAATTTGAAGACTAAATTAATATTATAGATATCGATCGTTAGAGACACCCCACACCAGCATCTTTCGAGCGTCAACGTCTTGCCAACGCACGCACAGCGCGGCAAGATATCCGCGCGGCGTATACCCGATGTTCGGCACCATTCAGAGGGTCTACTCCCGCCCTCTGTCCGATATCCATCCGAAACAATTGCTGTCAAATAAGTAACACGACTAATGATGCGACAAGAAGCATGATGCTATGATGTCTTTCGATTTGGTCGAGTATTACTTATTTGTCAGTAATTATTTCGGGCAGATGTTGGACTGAGAACAGGACGTCGTGTTGACAAGACGCTCACACTCGAAAGACGCTCGTGTGGGGCGTCTCTAAGTGATTGAATAATGAATGCCATCACTGCCATTCCACTGACACTATTGAAACTCAACTGCCATTGTAACTAGATTTTTTTGCAGAATACCGATATTAACATAATTGTAATAATTATAATCTCAATGAAGTCTCATTGGAATTACTATGACCAGAGGTTTCAAAAACATTAGCAGAATTGTGGCCATGTTGTATTGTTTACGATTTATTAAAATTTTTATCTTATATTAAAAATAATAAATATTAGACAACATCATATACGTCGCTCTGATCCCAAAGTAAGTGGCTATATACTTGTCTTATGGAAATCGGAAACAACGACGGTACCACAAACACTCAGACCCGAGACAACATAGAAAATTTAGCCGGGGATCGAACCCGGGACCTCTGAGATGTCTACACCATGAAAACCGGTGTGCAAGCCACTCGACCACTGAGGTTGCCAAAGGTTTTATTGTAAAGTGGCCAGAAATTCAGAACGGAAATGTAGTACTTTGACCCCTGTGTCTATATGAATTAGTGTTAAATTTTCGAAATTCTATAACATTATTACTTGTAAAGATTTGCTAACATGGGCGTTTTTTGGACAAAATATTGGATAATTTCATTCCAAATTTATTCCTTTTTCATCAAATATATCTCTTGTAAACCAAATTCATTAATGTACGCGAAAAATCAAGTGTAACGACCTAACAAAAGAGATATTTAAATATAATAAGCACACAATCAATTGATTAATTATTTAGATAATGCCCATAAGTATGGTTGCATGTTATTACAAATAACAATATCCTTCTGTTTTCTTTTATTATAAAATCGCCTAAGGTTGGTTAGTACCTATTACCATAACACTTTACTTAAAACTACCCCACTAAGATTTAATTAATAATTAAAAGTATTATATTAATGATTAAATCACTGTTTTAAATTGCTTAAATAAATGTACATGTGTCATACTTACACGTGTCGGCATATACTGTATTAGCTCACTGAACTCAGTTTTCATTCCCGTAACACTATTATTAATTACATCCATTTTAGTAAATTCTGTAAACACCAAGAAGTTAACACTTTTTCACTATTTTAATAAAACTTTAAAACGCTGCAAATTCAATTGCGATCTGGAAATTAAGATGGCGGCCTTTATGCTCCGTGAGCCATTCGATTATTATTTTTTGTAAATACCCGCTTACAAAAATAATAATCTAAGCATAATTTGTCACTCGAAAGAGATTTCCTATGAATTTCAAAGATTGTTTTGATGGGCTTCCACGTATGTAATATAGATTCGTATGATCGCAACAACAAGAAAATGTATCTCTTTTGAATATAAGATACCATTCGAAAAGGTCTCTGAATATTCAGTTTCTTTATTTCTTCAAAGAGGCTTGAGACCAACAAACTGACATGTATATTGTTTCCGTAATGATAATCCGCTGTTTGGAGTACTATTTTGTTACGATATTGTATGATTTCTGTGATATAATTTAAGAAACCACTTAATTATTTTGTCGTTTTTTGCATGCTTACCTTTACTCTCTAAATACAATTTAGCGTGAATTAACCTCATAAATAGCTATCAGTGATGCTATTTTCAAAAGGCTTTAAACCTTTTAAGCCATGACGGTGCTTGAGCTAACGCCCGCGCTGGCCCGTGTCATTAAGGCAACAAGTTGGTGCGAAAACAACATTGGTGAGCACGGAAAAAAATCAATGGTTGTGCCTTAAGCCAGGATTACTCACACAGTATTATCTTAAACACTAAGAAATCTTGATAATGATTGGTCGTAGTTTATAATTTAAAAAAGATGTGACAAATTCGGGACTGTTAATATAATTTAAACTTTACCCAGTTGGCATATCGTTGAAAGTTCAATACCTATTATTGTAAGTTACGACGTTTTCATTTTATATTGTAATTTCATTCAACGTGGTGTCATCTAGCGGCAATAAATGCAGCAAGTAGCGAAATAAAGCACTTCCACGAATTTCGAGATTTTACGTGAGGTAATAGACACGACCACAACGTACAGGGTCAAGAGCACGTCAAGCTTGACACTTCAGATTTAAATCCAACTTTATGCCGCTTACGATAAGAACGGTCCAAAGTGCAAAGTGTCAAGCTTGACTTGCTTTTGACTGTACAAAGCGAAAATGGCGGACAGAGCTCAGGTACATAGAACTTCGCGTACTGTTGACATACCTGCCACGTTCACTAAGCACTTCTACTGTATTTATTGTTCTGTGTTGATGAGTGAGTTCATTACTATTCAGTGCATGCGTTACTAGAATTACAACACGTTGAAAGTCATCAGATATAAGGCGTGTCTAAGCCAGTATAACCAGAATTCAGTTATTGTTTAGTTTCACCAGTAACCTAAACTATCAGACTGTCTGCGGACAGAGTGATCAGAAATCCAATGTGGCTAGAAATCAGAAGTTATTTAGTTTGACCACTTGTCGGCGGACAAAGTGATCAGAAATCCAGAATGACCCTAAATCAGATGTTGTTTAGTTTGACCAGTTGTCTATGGTCAGAGCAAACTTATATTAGATTTAGTTAAATGATTGTGCGGCCATTGGTGGCGTAAGGGGAGGTAAAAGGCTACTCAGAGGGTGTTTACTTCGATTCAGTTGCGTATGATATGAAATCAGTGTTTACCCAGATAGTCAGCTTGCAGATGCACGTGGACCTTATGTGTTGGTATGAATATAAATAACGCGCGCACACATACTCATAGCTCCGCACTAGGGAAAACCTGTATCGCGGTTGCCATGGACAAACACATAGGTAGACAACCACAAATTACACCCAAACTCACGAGAAAAATAAATGTAGGCCATACAAATATTTCTCTCGGCCCGGGAATCGAACCCGAGGTCTCTGCGTGGCAGTCAAAAATGGTAACCGTTCGGTCACGGAGGCAGTTAATGTAGGTTAATATAGATTGTGTTTTTGTCCGTATAGTCACCATCCTTCACGTCATTAATGAATTGGCGACAGGTTCTATCAATCGTCTCAATCACAAAAATCCTAGATGTATCTTAGAGAATAAATAAGAAAAAAAAAAAAAGGAAATGTTGTTCGACAAAATCGTCTAGTATCTGGTTCAGTGTTAGTTTCTGAGGGGCCTCCACGTTAAAAAATGTAACAGTTTTTATTTCTAATATTTTTTAAAAATTCAGAAAGACAGACTCCTGAAAATAAAACCGTCGTAATATTACTTTGCCACTACAATTCAAAATCCTTATTATGTAACAAAATCACATTAAATAATTTTTCCCTCATTACTAATACAATAATAATCCTCTTTAAGAGTTATACTCCAAACATCAATTAGACGTTTCAATATGCAAAGTCCATTCCCGATTTAATCAAAGAAATTTTCATAACGAACTGGGATCGTCGACGTTTTTAATCTCCCAAGGGTACCTATTTAATAACACTCTAAAGAAGTGGGTTTCACATCACAAAGAGACAAATAAAGCGATTATGCTCAATTAAAGTCGCGTATTATCGGCTGATAATAAAAAACTAGTTACCTACAAGTGAAACCTCTCCCTCCATATCATGGAATCTATGAAAGCGCAACATGTGATTAAGATATGAATACGAGCACCACAACCAGCTAGAATTAAATTTAACCAGGCAAGACAGACATACCATAGAACGCAATTTAAAGGAGAGACACTCTCGGGATTGTGAATAAATATAAATAAATGAGATGTAAGGTAGTGTCACCCTGCGTGTCTTTATAAAACAATTTTATGTCATATTTTTGGACAGACCTCATGTCTACCAAAAGACTATAATAGACGGTAAATTGTATACTTCCTTCCAAAGTCTTCAAAATGTTTTTATTTATAGCCTGCGTTGGAAGTGATAATTATCATTGATAATTATATCGATAATTATCTGGATATTTATATAATTAATTGGAACAACACAATGTCCTGCCACGTGTTTCAATCAGAGACATAAAAACATGTCAAATGTCAATCTCAAAAAGTTACATGCCCTATCGTTTTCCCAAAGATTATTCTTAGTGTTTAATTAGTTTTCTCACTATTATCATAGCATAATTAGCGGATATATTCGGCCGGATAATTATCAAGTAATTATCACGATAATATTGATTATCATCAAACAAAATGTAACAGTTTATGATTTATTTATTTGACGTCGAGTTGCGGACACTAGCCCGTTACACCAAGTACCAAGTACCAAGTTATGATTTATAACTAATCTATCGCAGTGATTCGTAGAATTTACGGATTCACATTAACAACATTTCAAACCTGATAATTTGAAATGTTGTTATTGTGAATCAGTGCCTTAGCAACAATTGCAAGGCATCTAAAATCTCTCTCTAAAACCAAATTATGCTGACGATTATGTAAAGACACGTATTAGTTCGGCTCGTTGTTGATTCATTCATTACTTGAATAAATTTATTCATTTACCTAGTAACAGACATACTTAGTACGCATAAACATGAAAACATTCTTATTCTGAATCTACAATAGAGTAGATAACAGGGGGACAATTTTTCAAGCGGTAGATAAAACATGACAATAATAACAAAACAGTACAGAGTACTAAAAAATCGACCTCAAAAGTCATTCATCCCCTAGTTTGCCACCCTCAGAGGTGAAATATTTTTTTTCAAATTTAAATGGGACCACATCTCAGGTACCCTCTTTCCAGCAAAAAAAAATAATCATCAAAAGCGGTTCACAAATGCGTAACATACATACAAAAAAAACATACAGTCGTATTGAGAACTCCTCCTTTTTTGAAGTCGGTTAAAAACATGTCGAAGATACCCGATGATCAATTGCTAGCGGTTTTTAAGCAATTTTTTAAGCAGTTTTTAGTTATTACTCAGTAACTCACGAATGATTTAGTACCTTAACGCTCGAGATGAAACTACATAGTTGAGTTCAGTATAATTTTTTTATCGATTACTTATATCTTGAATTTAATCGATCAAAACAAAAAAAAATGCTATAATAGATTTTAAAATCTTGATATCTAGAATGAAATTGTTTCTGGACAGAGTAAGATTTTAGTTTCATTTCCTGTAGTAAGATTGTGGGGGTACGATGTTATTTCTAAAAAGTGAAAATATAATTATGAATACAGCTCACAGTACGAGAATCGTCCCCCTTGTATTATTTTGCGATTTAGATCTCGTTCAAAAAAAGCCACCATAACATTAAGGAAGATTGTATCATGAATTTTGTACCACAATATCGAACGTTAGTTTATTGTCCCATATTCTGACAGTATTCGTATTTTTTCTTTTATTTAGAACCTTCTAGAAACAGAATGTTTTAAAACGTAAAGAAGGTTTATGCAGCTTTTATATCCGTTATAAAAGACGCAAAATAGCAACACTAATTACGTATTCTGAGAACCGTTACATTAATTGATGTGTCACTTAACCTTTGATTTCGCTTTTTCACCAGATGTACCTATAATTAAAGTGGTAAATGCGAAAGCAATTACTGACGTGGTTATTGAAATTTCGGTAAGTAATCTCATGTCTCAAGTCTAATCTGTTATTATAATATTAAATTCATTGCATTTATTTTGCGGTGGTGACCTTATGGGCGAATGGTTGTCTCTTAATTGACTTAGAATCCCTGTGGCGGCATGTACTTATGACTTCAATTTGTAAGATGTTCTTCCATTGTGAAATGTTTAGTAGCAATACCTTTCGCCAATAGTGAAGAGATAACATCGAAGGAAGAAGGTTCACAACCCTTGAAATACTTGTGAAGGGGAATTGGGCTACAATGACAGACTATGAAACAAACCCGATGAGAGAAGACCCGTACAGCCAGCAGCGGGACGTATAAATAGGTTGATCATGATCATCATATTTTTTTGCAGCTTTTGTCTTGCACTATTTATGTATCACAGACCACATACGCATATACACAGCACGTCGACCTCGACACGCGGACTTTGGCGCAGAGTCGAAGCGTCGCGTCGCGTCCTGTTTTTCAAATCAAATCGACGCTTCGACTCTGCGCCATTGTGAGTTGAGCCTAATGCTCTGACCACACAGAGGCGGAAACGGAAGCGTTCCGGGCATGGGAATTTTTGTAATGTACGAGTTCATAAGAATCATACCACCCTAAAACGCGCGGCGGCAATGCGACGCGGCGAAATAATTTGGGAAAAGATTTCCAAGGAGCCACATAAAAGTCGTGAGTGTACTATTTTTTACCTTATACTTATACGGGATGAACACGATTTGTTCATCCCGTCATTTGGAAACGTAAAAAAGACCTGGATAGCAAATAACAGTATTTGTCTGTCCAAAGCGTAGTAGTTACTAGGAATGTTTAACTTCCGCAAGATTAGCGCTAATAAAAGAAGTTCTTTTTCATTACTATCTGACAGTGACATGATGCTTTCTTTGTCTGTGTTGAAAAGTTAGAGGATGGAAAAAAAAGGTTGGAAATAAGTGTGGCGTGACGCTTTTGGTGTCACACCGGCCGCCTTCACGCTGCTGTACCGTCGCGAACTACGCGCGGGATTGCTGTGTGGCACGCCCCGACAAGCACTCGTTTCCCGCAGGTCCGCCCCCAGGCCGCTTTTCCCGATATACCGCG